TGATATTCGCAAATGCGTTTAGGGCACTATGCATTTTTGTAATTTCCGACAGTTGTTTTGATTTTATACAAATCTGCATGTCTTACAGATTTTAATTTGCTTCTCAGTTTCATATTAAAATCTTTTTTTATAACACTTTTGATAATGGATAAACAAAGGCTCTAAGAGATCAAAAATCGATTTTTTTTACATTTTTACAAATGGCTATAACTACATTTATAAAATGAAAGCAGATGTTAGCAGGTAAAAACTTTATGGCACTCAAATGGTAGAGGATTTTTTATCTGACAAAAAATTCCAAAACATGACAAACAGAAAACCTTAAGTATGGATCATGTAAAAAAAAACAATAAACATTTAATTCTGAACTATTAGTTTTAAACAAATTTTGCTGATGTTTAACAAATCGTGTTACTTCTTATTAGATTATAATCTAATAAGAAATAACAAGAATTTTATAACCTAATAAGAAGTAACCAGAAATTTATTACCTAATAAGAAGTAATGTCTGGTTCATCACTCCCTCCTTCTTCTATTTCCTCTATATCCGCGATCTCCACTGCGTCCTCTTCTTTGGTTCTTGGTTCCTTATCAGTCGGTTGGTCCTCTGTTTCTGTTGTTGTAGTATTAATAATGTCTGGTCCATCACTACCTCTTCTATTTCCTCTATCCTCACGATCTCCATTGCGTCATCTTCTTTGGTTCTTGGTTCCTTACCAGTCGGTTGGTCCTCTGTTTCTGTAGTTGTAGTATTAATAATGTCTGGTTCATCACTACCTCCTTCTATTTCCTCTATCCCCACGATATCAATTGCGTCATCTTCTTTGGTTCTTGGTTCCTTATCAGTCGGTTGGTCCTCTGTTTCTGTTGTTGTAGTATTAATAATGTCTGGTCCATCACTCCCTCCCTCTTCTATTTCCTCTATCCTCACAATCTCCATTGCGTCATCTTCATTGGTTCTTGTTTCCTTCTCAGTCGGTTGGTCCTCTTTTTCTGTAGAAACCACAGACAATGTGTCTGCTTTCTCCTACACACACTCTACCAATAACTCATAATTCATTTTTCTCTACCAGCGGCATTGGAATTGTAGCCACCCTCTTCCTCGGCACTCTGAATTACTGGTCTTCTTTATCTGACGTCAGTTTAGTGGCCACCAACTCTTCGAATTCTGTGTCCACTGGAGATGGCTGAATTGGTCGAATTTATACACAAATAAATTCCTTTAAAAAGGTGTTTAATCCTATAATACACTGCAGTTATCTCATAATTTATGATATTTTAATTGCAGGAATAACTGAGCATGTTGATTAACTTTGCAATGACATTTCATATATTTCAAGATATATAGCTGCAAAATTTGACCCAAAAAAAAAAATCAGGGGCAATAACTCCTTCAGCAATAATTTTAAAATCTCCTGAAATTTTCAACAGTGGTACCTCTTTACCTAGACTAGTGTCATTTTGAAGTGTACTTTTTTTCTGTAATGTACATATATACTTTTGGAAATGTAAGATAAACCATGTTCTAGGTTTAAAACAGCAACTATGATTTTTTTTCATTTTGATTGACGACCTGTGTATAAGTTACTCACAAATTATAATTTATATACCCAAAGAATCTTTCCTTCAAAGTTTGGTTACAACCAGTTCAGTGGCTTTGGATTTTTTTTTTAAATATTTAAGATGTCAGATGGTGACCAATGATGGCAAGTAATAGGCAATAGCCCACATGGACATTCTAGCCAAGTGAGCTTAAGAAGGTGAGCCAATATTATCAGATTGGTCACTTGGGCTCTTTCTGACAATAAGAGTATTTTAAAGTTATACTGTCTATATTACAAACCTTAAAATCTGCTTTCAGATATCGTTTTGCCTCTAACAACTTTGTTTTCAAGTTATTCTCATCCATAAATATTTTCTCCAATGTTTGAAATGCACGGGATCCTTCCATTACATAATTGTCAAGGCCCTCAACACTTTTTCGTACTGATGCAGCACATTCTGATAGAATTTTATAGAGTGTGCTCTTACCTGAAAATTATATGTTAATGATATATGTAAATGATGTTTCACCTTAAAAGTAACATCGATTATAAAACATATATATATATATAATTTAATTTTGGATGTAACGCGTCTTCCGATTGGCTGACGTTGTTTTGTTTATCAGCTCATAGACATAATTTTGTCATGTGACCTTGACGTCATCAACGTTTTTTCATGATTTACTCCGGTTTAAAATGGAATTAAGAATTAAATTATAAGAAATGACTAATATTTTTTCTGTCTATTCGAAATAACATAAAAAATGTGGTGCACACTTTAAAATAACCCGCTACGCGGGTTATTCAGTGTGCACCACATTTTTGATGTTATTTCTTCATAGACAGAAAAAATATTACAGTCATTCCTTAAATAAATGATTCCGTTATGCAACATGTCTCATAAGTATACTTTTCAGGACCACCAATGGCCGTGCCAGTAAAAGCTAGCATTAGCATGGTTAAGATTTGTCATTATGTCATTATTTTTATGCCCTGCATACAAAAGTATGGGGGCATATTAGTTTAGGGTATGTCTGCCCTTTCGTCTGTTCGTCCAAAACTCATGTTTACATTGTACCTTTAGGTTAAAGTTTCTTTTCCATGAAGGAATCTTATCATGCTATCATGAAAAAACTCATGTAAGGATAATTGAAAATCAGCATAAAATTTCATCTACCTCATCAAAGTCATGCTCCATTAAACTAAGAAAGAGGATGTGTTTGATAAAAAGCGAGGCCCGCGGGCACCAGATATCTTTCGAACATAGTTTTGTTTTTGTTTGTTACATAAAATTTTAACCCTACCTAGTTGCTCATGCATTTAATGCAGACTGAGGTGATTCTTTTACAAAATGTGCCACATTTGGTCATTGGCTAAGAATTCATGATATAAACTTCCATTCAGTGAATTGGACATAAACACAAAATTAAGCTGAAATGAATGCCAAATTGGTCATTTTTGAACCTACATGTACATAATGTAAGTGCATAAAATAACTTTGATGTATTCTTTAAGGATGTTCACTTGTCATGTTTTGAGATTTTTGTCAGATTTTCGGAATCCTCTGGTTTTATCCATCTGAATGCCTTAAAAAAAATAATGCCAATTGACCCCCATTTTTCTTTTTATAAATCTTTTATATGTATAATTATAAGCCATCTGTAAAAGTCTTATAAAATCTTTGTTATTTTTCAAAAGTTTTTGAGACCTTTAAATTGTCAATGATAATGCTATGAAAAATCAAGAGAGAACATTTTCCAGCCAAAATTTCAATGGCTAATATCTCGAAAACAAGCACATTGACCTATATATTTTTTTTGCTTTTTTGGTTCCTATCGATATATACTATTGTTATGAAAAGCTTGTTATTTTGAAACTTTAGTAGTGAACTTCCTTAATTTGATTTAGGCAAAAATTGTGTCAAACAAAAGTAATTTGCATTGATGCATTTTCATTGTGTTGATCATTGAAGACAAACAATAACCTTACCTAAAGGGCTAATATTGTCTTCTTCACATAGGTGCAAATATTGGCTGATGAGTGAGCTAGATTGATTGATTGATTGTTGGTTGCTTAACGTCCAGTGGCAAATATTTCATGCATATTCAGGACGAGAAAAAATTAACAATAAATACAATAGGTAGGTTCTGTAAGAGGGGCGTCTGGGATTAAGGTCGGAGAAATTTAGACTGCCACGGGAAATGAGGGTATATTGGATAGGGACAGAAATTTAGCCTTGCAACAGATCACCTACGGACCCCTCAAAGACTTGTTGCAAGGGTTCTTAACGTGCAAAGAGCGTGACACTCTCTTTACACGAGGCATCGGATTTAACGTCCCCATTCTGACCGGACGTGGCTGCAAATTTGTACATCCCGCACAGCCAAACGGACGCCCCACTTTAGCAGGAGTTTTACTGCGAGTGAGGTAGATGACAGACTTCTGATAACATTGGGTATATTGATAATTTCACCAGAGTCCAGCTTAAGAGTGCTTTGACCATATGGCAGGTCTTTCATTATGTGACTTGATGGGATAAAGTCAATGAAATGATCGAGACTGTTGGCATTTATTTTCTCCCTTTTCTCAACTGTGACATTCACTAGTAGTCCCGGTCCTTCAATGTTTGCATGTCGTTTGGCCTCATAAAACCTCCAAGAAGTTAATCCAGGAATAAACTGTGAAATGAGAAATTAAACGTCTTACATTCTTAATAAAGTTTCTATTTTTCGACCACAAAACTTGATACCAAACACATCATCTTTGATATATATATATACATAGATACATTGGTAGCTGACATATTCATATTTCTAGTACTAATGTAATTTTAATGTTTGCTTTTGACACAGTTAAGGGTTAGGGTTGGGGTGCCCTGTGCTAGATTTTTATATTTTGTGATTTCTGTCTTTGTTTCTTTTCATTATTTGAGTTCACTACATGTGTTTAAACAATTTCCAATCATAGTCTCCAGTTTCTGAGTTTTCTCCAACTCCTAAACAATTATGGATGGACAAAAGGGAATAACTCTCACCAACATAATTAGTCATCTCTGATTTTCCGTTTTGTCTATTAAAGATGTTGATTGTTGTGACCTTTAATAAGTTAATAATTATCAAATGAGAAATTCAAGAAGGTGAGTTCTTAGTTTTTAATTGACTTCACTAAATTACCTTCTGAGCTCCTTCAAAAGACATTTGTTGTACAATGATAGATAACACGTGTCTTTGGAATTGCCATGATTCTGCTTGGATATAGATTTTTATAAGGATCTGTAGGGTATCGTCAGCAGGCTGCTCCTGTTCATTTCTTTCAAAAATAATGGATTCCAATAGCAAATCTTTTTCTTTTGGAGCAATGGTTTCCAAAACAGCAAACACACATTCTTTTGCTTTATCAATGTAGCGTCTTTTAGTTCTTTCACTTGCTACTGCTTATGGGTTTGATAAAAACTTTTAACTGGGCTAACATTACAGTTATGTAAGAAGGTATTGAGACTCTCTAATCTGGAAATGTTCATCACAGATGCATATGATTCTTGACTATCTGCTGTCTGCAAAGAACTCATAGTGCTACTCTGGCTTGATTCTTCAACATCCTGAAAAAATAAAGCATCATAAATTTAAATGATAAACGGTAAAGTCGAAATGTATTAAAATAAGTATATTACTGACCACAAATAAAACTTTATCAACCAAAATTTTGTGCATATCATGCATTTTTTTTTCTTATATTTGTTCAACAATGTTTACTGTTAATTATTTTTATTCTAATATGGGGTGCTGCATAAATCAATAGATATGGGTACGTTGTCTACTCTAACGTTTCATGTTGTTTCCTATTTGAAAACACCATGCTATTATAGTCTGTTAAATACATATGTGTTTCTATAACAGCTTACTAAATAAAGCTCATTAGATGAATGAGTAAAAGGATAATGTGTGTGCTTACCATTTCCCAACCAACCCTTGTTTATGTCGCCAACCCTACCTTTTTTTCTATAGCCAAGATGCTAAAATTGGGGTAATAAAATGTTTTCAAAGCAAGTTGTCAGGGGAGATATAGTTGGGGGAAGGAAACTATCTAAAGTAAAAGAGGAAATAGGGATAGTCTAAAACCAGATTGTTGAAAACCCGCAAACAACCTCAAATTTTCTGGATCTTCAAATGAAAAGAATAAAAAAAAGATTTCTAAACTACCTACGTAACATTTTTTGAAGGATAAAAAGTAGGAAAATATATTTATTTTTTAGGTACTGCATGAATACTTACATGTACACAAATTCTTTTAAACTGATCATTTCTGTCAAGGCAATCCACTGTCTTTAAAAATAAAACAAAGACATTTTTAATATTTATGTCAAGAATTTCATTTGAAGCAAATACATGTATTTAAAATAGGACAATTGCAAAAGCTATAATTTTTAGAACCATTGATTCCTTTTTAAAATTTTAATACATGAATAAGAAAATTTGTGTATGAGACACGTGACGTCCCACTCCTTATCAATAAATGTAATAGCTGCAAATGTAAGGCAGAGTGACCTACTTCTTAGTGAATTCTTGTGTACTCTTTAAATATCAGCTATCTACATCTAGATATGACCCTTAATCCAAAACCTAATTTAGTTGCTCATGCTGAAAATTACATCATAGTGAAGCCTAGTTTAACAGTAATCTATCAATTGACCAAATATCAAGTCTGCCATGTATATAGTAGCGGTCTCAGATATACAGGCAATACCCATAAAAATGCCTTTTCAATTTTGGATAATATAAAACAGAAACAAAATACAAACCCTTTTCCTTCTCCCTGCCAAAGAAACATCTTCCTCTTCCTCATGTCCTGTATATACACTGATCTCCTTAAATAAAAATGTAATGTTACATAGATTAAAATAATAACAGTTTCCTTGCACGCCATTAATTTTTGCTGAAATAATAACTAGTCTTTAGATATGGAAAGTTTTTCGAAATTTCCTGCCTTTTTTGGGGGAACGCTTGCGGAAATTGATAATTGAGCTGCTATATTGTATGCATTGAATGTTCTATGATGAATTGTAGATCATCTTGAAGTTCATTCCACTTCATTGTTTATTGCTGAAATAATGGTATTGCTGAAATAATGGCCCCTTGGATTTAAAAAAAAAAACAGTTTCCTTTATATATTTCTACTAAATGGTTTCAGATAATCTGCTGATACTTAGTATGTAATTCTGCTATGAAGAGTTAAAGATCAAGTTATGATTTCATTCTGTATTGCTGATTTGTATTTGAAACTATAAAATGATGTAAGGAAGAACCAACCCCGCCTAAGTTTCAATTCTGGAAAATTATTGACTATTGACAACCTAGGGTCTTCAAATAATGTAGTGTTATCACTCAAATTTTACCTGCAAATGTGTCTGCTCTGCTTCAGTTACAGTTTCATGTTTGTCAACAACTGGACCATTATAATTTGTTGTAGCCTTGATGACTTCTTCACGACAAAGTCTACAAATTGCTGTAAATAAATAAAACACGATAAACACTTAAAATCACATTTATATACATGATATATAAACACTACATTTATATTCAATTGTGTTGGACAGAAGTGTCATTTTTACAGCATGCATACAAACCCTCTGTTCTTTTACAGTACAATACAAAAAGGATGGACGGACAAACAGTGTGACTGGACTTCAATGGCTTTCTTTAATGATAGAAGGAATCCATGACAAATCGCCCCACACCTAATCGCCCCACTTTTTCAACAACTTGCCCCACCATCTAAAAAATTGTCCCACTCTTGGTTACCAACTCACCCCACTTATGAAAAAGGTTAAAATCCCATTGAAAATAGGTTGGATAACTTGTCCTACTTATGAAAAGGTGTAAAATCCCGTTGAAATAAGGTCTGCCGATTTGCCCCACTCATGACAGAACTACTGGGATAGATAAAACCACGATTAATTAAGAAAGCTAACTCATGACTCATGTGAGCATCACAGAAAAGCACAAGGATACACAGTAGACATAGTAAATGCATGACAAATATAACAAGAGGCTCTCAAGAGCCTGAATCGCTCACCTGTATTTCAGAGGAGAAGATTTTTAAATGTTAGCAAACTTGATGAACAAATTGTGTAAAATTGTCTTTAAAGGGCAATAACTCCTTAAGGGGTCAATTGACAATTATGGTCATATTAACTTTTTTGTAGATCTTACTTTGCTGAACATTATTGCTGCTTACAGTTTATATATATATCTATAATAATATTATAAATAATAACAAAAAACTGCAAAATTTTGTAAAAACTACCAATTCGGTGGCAGCAACCCAACAATGGGTTGTTCGATTCGTCTGAAAATTTCAGAGCTGATAGATCTTGACCAATTGAACAATTTTACCCAATGTCAGATTTGCTCTAAAAGCTTTAGTTTTTGAGATATAAGCCAAAAATTGCATTTGACCCCTATGTTCTATTTTTAGCCATGGCTGCCATGTTTGTCGATGGATCAAAACTTCGGATACAATTTATAAACTAGATACCCTAAGGAACATTTAGTTAAAGTTTGAAGGTATTTGGCCCAGTAGTTTCAGAGGAGAAGATTTTTTAAATAGTTTACGACGACGGACGCAAAGTGATGGCATAACATGCATAAGCTCACATGGGGACCGAAGCTAAAAAAGAAGGCTACTTTACTTTTTAAAAATTTTTAAAACCATGCCACCAAATTTCTCATTTTTGTCAAACCATAAACAATTCTACGATAATAGTTTTCATTTAAATGGGGCGAGTTAGCAGACCTGAAAATTATATATTCATCTAGATTTAACATTTTTTCTTTAAGTGGTGCCAGTTGGCAGGATTAAATTTAACAGGATTATGCCCTTTTCGCAAGTGGGGCGATTTGCCAGTGGGGCGATTTGTTATGCTTGAGCTTCTGATAGAATTAATAAAAATGTGAGATTTTGTTTCTTTTTATGAAATCACCTTATTCAAATATTTATCATAGTAAATATCTTGATAGCACCAACCGCAAATTGCCTTATTAGGCTACGCTTTCCCGCCTCAGGTTTTATAATTTAATTTCCTCGATTTTGGAATACAATTTGATTCAATCAAGAAATTATCGCAATAAGTGAAAACTAAATTATTACTCACAGAGATTTTAAGATTTGAAATGTCAAAATTTCGACTTTGAAAAAAAAAGTTCAAAACCGATTTTATTTTTTCTACATCCATAATACGCTTTCGTAGAGACGCTCCTGGTTAGTTTTTAAATAATATTAACTATAATTATTGATATAATGTAATAATGGAATATACGATATTTTTTTAGAAGAGAATCAAATTAAAAAGGCATTACAAGCAAGTGAGAAAACAAAATAAGAACATTTCAAGTTCTGAGCATAAATGATCATAAATAAAATAGATTGTCATTTATTAATTCAAATAAATTTATCCATCATACATAACACTTAATTTTCATTTTAACCTATATATGAAGACCTGAAATATTCTATCATATTTCAGGTGCAACAGAAGAAGTAGCAAACAATAAATCCAGAGTTCTGAATGGATACATTTGTACATAATTATCAAATGCATCTAGTTTTAGATTGTATGGAATTTTATAGTATTGATTTAAATTGTGTACACACTCAAACTTTATTTTTAGTCGTTTTAGATATATTAAAATTTTTGTTTCTGGTTTCGAATTATATTAGAAAATAACTTTCAAACTCGAGTTTTTTAACATATCTATACTATTAAACGAGAAGACCTCATTTTGTGTGTCGCTTCTCTTTCTTCCCCAATAAATTAATCAGCATGCCTCTGTGTCCTATAGGTACCATTATAATCCATTATTATGATTATTCAGTTTCGCGTTATTCTTTATGTATACTATGATTATAATCCTATAATATATAGAGACTCTCTATATAATAAAGCAGTGATCGCCGTGGAGAAGAAACTTGGAATTGATAGTTAATAGCAAACACATTTTATTTATATTGTATGTATGTTTTTAGTATACAGAAACGCGAAAATCATGGAATTTAACAGATAGCAAAAAAATAACGGACTTTGGAAAAAGCGAGAGGGCTTAAAATAATTGTCCTGTCTCCAAGTGCCTATGACTCAGTTTTATACCTTTTCTGAAATTCTCTAGACATAAAATCTTTACAAAAAATCATCCTACAACAGTTTACATACTTTCAACCAAGCTCTAAATACCCATGATTTCGCGGGTGTGTTCTAGTATTTATTCAAATTTAGTATAATTTTAGTCTATTAATGTGCATTTACATTTAATTTCTAATTAAACTAATACATTTAATACAAATTAAAAAATATTATTTGTCATTATAACTTCACTGAATTCGCAAAATCAGGAAATAACCGATAATTTTCGTGTATCTTTCACGTTTCATTCCGAATGATGTGACAGTTTATTATAAAATCCGTTGCAGGTAAGCATAGCCAATGAAAGCCAATTTGGCTAAGAGTACCCGCATGCGGGTACGAGCAGACACTGCCAACTCCATATCAAGTGGGCATATTTTTACAACACTGAACAGTATGGAAAGGTTCCTAGATATACTTCCTTACAAGGCCTAGAAGGCCTTAAACATTACGGCAAACATATTCTTTTTTAAGGGCCTGCCAGAATTATAAGGAACCAACCATTTAACTTGGAAAAGGGAGGCGGGCATGTTTTTTTTCTCTCTGAAAAACGGATTTTGATTCTGAAGTGTGGGGAAAAATATTCTGGTCAGCAAAGGAAGAAAAAAGTATTCTGAGAGAGGGTTATTGCCATATTGGAAGGACCATTTAACTTGAAAAAGGGAGGTCAGTTTTATTTCTTGTCAGAATGTTCTTTGGGACGCGGCATGACAATATTTTTTTCAAATTTAATTCTTTTCTTTTTTTCTTCCCTTGCTGACCAGATTATTTTTTCTCTCACATTCTGAATCAAACTTATTATTTTTTTTGTTGATTCGATAATTGCTGACTATAGTATATACTAACGTGTCCCAACAGGAATGAAAACACCTGTACTCCTGGCAATATTGGTGTGCATCTCCACACTGACATGGCGATCACCAGCTTTTGAAGAGGTGTGGCAGCAAATCAATGGATTGACTGCAGAAATACCACATGTCTGCCTTTTTCTTCTCCTTTTTAACTTCTCCGCACAAATTTCTTTATGTGTATTGCAGATTGTTAGCTTGTCCGTGTAACCAGATTGCAACAAAGTCAAAGAACACTCAGACAAAATACATATTTTTTCATGGTTGGAAAAGGATTTCAGTGGGAAAATGTCACCATTGCATATATCATTGTGCTTCAAATAGTCATTCACAGTGCACATGGTTATATCTACCCACCAGAAAATATTTAGGCAATTTTTGATTCTCCCTCCATTCAACTTTCTTTTTTTGTAAGCCTGCAACAAAAGACCTCCTAAAAGGGAGGTAATTTGGTGGGCCCAATAACCAAAAATATCACAACAAACGCTCATTGTTTACCATAGTTACAATGAAATATTTTAGTAGGGATTCATTTGCCCATTAATGTTTGTTTTATTTATTATTAACAGTATAATGCTCAATTCAAATATATTTATGATTAATTTGAAATGGCTGGCTTTTCTTGAAATCTGAGAATAGAAATAGCTGATGAAGACTACTTTCTTTAGGAAAAATCAAGTATACAATTAATGTATTCTCAGTTTTTAAAGAATTTTTCTTTATTTCATAATAAGTTGTAGTAGATATTGATAGTGAGGTGCTTTTTTGTGTTCAACATGTACACAGCAACAGTAATTTCTGCAAATTGGATCTCAGGCCATTATTCCACATTGTGACATGTTCAGACTCAGTTACCATGGAAACGACAAAACATATCATTTTTGTGTAACATAATTTTTTTCTCGTCTTAGCCTACTAAACACAATTACATCAAATATGGGGCATTTTGGTTTGGTGTGTGCCATTGGATTTTGGTGGTTACAGAGAATTGCTCTTAAATGTTCCTTTCCAGTATTCAGTGCCATAACTTATTCATTTTTATAAATTTCCTGTTACAAAACTTTGAATTTTTCGAAAAACTAAGGATTTTCTTATCCCAGGAATAGATTACCTAAGCCATATTTGGCACAACCTTTTGGAATTTTGGGTCCTCAATGCTCTTCAACTTTGTACTTGTTTGGCTTTATAACTATTTTGATCTGAGCGTCTTATGTAGACGAAACGCGCGTCTGACGTATTAAATTATAATCCTGGTACTTTTGATAACTATTATTCTCTAGTATAAGTCATAAAAGTTTATATGAAAGTGAATGTATGGGAATGTTCATGACATAGATAAATACCAATGCTTGTATGTACCATTGTATGAAAGAAATCGGAAGTAAACAAAATGAACTCTTTTAGTCAAAATTCATATTTCAAATAAAAGAAAGCCCATTTAAAACGCTCCTTATCACTAGTTCCCTTGCTAAGTTGTTGATAACTACTAAGCTTTCAACTATTGTACTGTATGCTTCT